GCAAAAAAAATTGTTAAGGGAAGAAACGCACAATTCGATGACAGCAATAATATTGAGTTTAAGAAATACAGTTGAACAATTTGCAAGCATTCACTTGATTTCTTTGAATAAAACAAATATTCAATGCATTTGCATTGGCTTTTTACGTGATTTTCATTTTGCTATCACCACTTCAGTTTCATTCCACTTTCAAATTCTATTAATTCATTTCTAACAATCTGGATTACTTGTTTAAAGACATAAAAATAACTGATGAATGAAAAATTTTTTTCCGATTTATACGCACTTTTCTGGTCGTTCAAATTATGTTGCATTTCAAAGCCATAAAATGGTTTGAACTTCCCTCTGACTGCTCACAATTGGATTATTGTTGCGAAGATTACGAAACAGAGGGAGTTCATTGTAAAGCGATATTGATGTACTACATATCAATTGCATAAACTTGACTGCGGACACGTCACTTAATCCCTATTATGATAGATGACGAAATGCCATAAGTGGGAATAAGGGATGTAATGATCGCAGAGATGATATCACCTCCTCAAACCGTGAAAATCTATGTCATAGTGCCTATTCAGGCCACCTTTTTGTAGAATAATATGCAATTGGAAACGATTACATGGTGAGTATATGATAGCCCCTGTCTCATTCCGTCAACTATAAAACATTATTGCTTTATCAGCAGTCTGATAATCCGAATTCGACATTTGTCGAAATGTGGATGTCTGTAACAAATGTTTCTCATTTTCTGTAAATCAACTTTCCGTTCATCTCAATCAGCCCCACTGAATTCTCAACACTTGAGAGCAGCCAATTGGAATCGCTCTCGAAAATGAGAATTCTCGAATGAAGCATAATTCAGAAAACGATTACGTTTTGTGTTGGGAAAGAAGGCAATCCAAACGAGAAGCTGTGTCATTTTTTGTCATTTTTTTGAGTGACAAATTTGCTGAAATATATCCATTAATGCTATATTTCTGCTAGGACACAGACATTTGTATGAGTGCATCGTGTCAACTAATATTGCCTGCACACATCAAACGAACGAACCATAATTGCTTTCTTATCGGAAAATATTCCAAATGCCAAATTGCCCACTCGAATTCCTCTGAAAGAATGCACATCAACACATCGTACGATATTTGCGTATCACCTCGACCGAATGTCGCTGCATTTTCATTTTTCACAAAATGGCCTCTTCGAATTGATTACTGCTGCTGAGGTTGCATTCTGGTCGCATAACGAACCGCGGGTTTTGATTGAAATCAAATTCTTTGGGCTAACCAATTGCTGTCAAACAAATCATATCTAATTGTAAGATCACCAGCATGTCATATGTTGGGTTTTTATTCTGATGTTCCAATTCGAGGTCCTGTTGTGTTTTGTTGCCTGAAGCAGCAAGCTCAGAGATCAAACACTGAAAACGGTCTACACCGATAGTTTCATGAAAAAATTCATAGCGCGAATACTCGATGTGGACATGCTCGAATTGTGATATTGCGTGTCCAGTTTTCTTGCTTCAATAACGTTCATAAGTTGAAAAGCCGAATGAATGCAATTTTTGATTATGAATGCACAATGCGGATTGTGAGATGTTTTTTTTTGTTCGTCGTGCCATCTGTTCAGTTCATTTTTGCTGTTTGCTATATGCGATTTGTAAAACTTTTACTTACCGACGCAAAAGTTTAATAAGTTTTAAGTATTTGTATGCGCTGAACTATGTTCACATTTGTCAGCAGTCATTCTTCAGCAAGAACAACTGCTCATTGAAAGAGATACCGAGCTTGAGACTGAGAGCAAAATAGTTGCAAGGATGATGTGTTTGGGTGGAGAGCTAATACCTTTACACTGAATGAATGTTATTTTTACTTTCGTGTATTATTGTTCGCCATATGTCTGTAGATATTAAGAGATATTATTTTCAGGTCTATATTCACCACTAGGACAACCGGGTGAGACCCTGATGGATATTGAGAATAATCGCTATACACCGACATATCGCCAGCTAGACAAAAACCAGGCAACACGGGAGCATGAATCGGTTTACCTTTTACATTTGTCGTTTTATTTGACATCATAAATGAATAATGTCAAAATAATCGCCACCTGGCAAAGAGCAACATAATTGCGTTGATTTACGACATCGCTGGCATTTATTTTCTCGAGTTATGATCACTGAATTTTCTTTGAATGAGGTGCTCGTAGCACCTGCCGTTAAATACCACAAGATTCATTGCCCACTTAATCTGCTTTGCATGAGAGCCGGCCGAACAAGCTTGTGTGCTCTGTTTCTAACAAGCTCAAATTTTGAAATCAGTATAGATTTTGCATATTTAGGAGAATCACAACAACAACGGACTGATTTATCGGTGTGTCACTCCATTGGCCAGTGAACAGGTTTGTTTCAAAACATTCACTCCTCTTTCGATTTCAAAAACTTGGAAATATCCTTGCAATAACGCATTTTATTGGTGGTTTATGAGTCACTATTGTGGAGAAAGACTTGGATTTATTGCAGTCATATTTTTGTTTCTGCTATTTTCACATTTTGATCTCATATTGAAGTTGTTGAAAAGAACAACCACTACATTAGCCGTCAGAGAAACAGTATGCGATTTCGAAATCTTCTCATCGAATATGGTCAGCTTCCTTTTCAGAATGCGGTGCTTCACAATAAACCAACGTCAATGACTTTGGATGCGTTAATGGCACAAGTTTCAAAGGTTTGTTGCTTCGCTCGAACATCCAAACGGTTTTGCTAGAGTGAATTAGATCTCAGCTCTCTTCTCGTTACTTACTTGAAGACTCATTTCGAAGAGTAGTGCCTGTGCATGCTGTTATACCTCGTTCACTGGCTGCTCTAAATGCACAACCCAGAACTTTTCATTACTCTCGTCAGAACCTGCAATCATCACTGATGATTACTATGATGGATGAGTAAACGCTGAACTCAGTATATTGTAAGAATAACGGGAGAATGTTTAAGAAAGAGTTCACAAAAACATCTACTCAGTGTAATCAACCGTCTTTGCAGCAAAGCCGGGAAGTTTAACATCAAATGGATAGTTTTATCGCAAAAGGGATCACAACTGATGTTGGTAGGGAATGTCAGTATCAATTCTGACTGATGTTCGCAAGAGGAAATTAACATTCTAATGAACTTGATTAAGGAACAATCAGCATTATGTTTAGAGAATTTGTGCAGGGGATGTTCTGAGTGCACATAGCTATTGTTAGTTTTAACTGTACGAGACTGCATGGTGTGTTGACAATAAGCAACAAGGCAATCACTGGAAGGGCTGAAATGACTAGTGCAGCTAGTAGTGTGTGGTGCTTGCTCGAGACTTGTGAATATGAGATTATAATCTTGTATGCACGAGTTGGTTGATTCTAGATCTCAAGTGCTTTGCAACACTCATAACACAAAGTGTTCAAGTGCTCATTTAATGGCTCATATATTAGCAGTACAACCGGGGAAGCTGACTGAGTTCATAGATAATGCCATCGTCATTTGCGACATCCATTCTTTTGATACCACTAAGATGGTTTCAAACAAATAAGCGCAATAAGCTGAATTCTTCATTGCAGCTGAATTCAAACGGTCAGTCGTCGCAAGAGGTGTTTAGCGAACAGAGCCAACCAAAGGTACTTATTAAAGTTGATTGTTTGAAGTGACCAATAAAGCGCTGTCCAGGATTTATGAACAAGGATTCATCTGATTCATATTCGATGATTTTGGAGAGATGTGATTAGAGTGATATGGACGAATGTTAATCCACTCACTTCTTTGATAATAGCAATCGCTCTAATATTAGTGTTTGGTTATATAATCTGATAGTAAGATCTAAAGAATATTAGTATTTGGATGTGGATTTGGTAGGGGAATGTTGAAACAATATTTGGGTGATGAGTTCGATTCATTTGGTTGGTGAAGAAGTGAATGATTCACAATAACATCATCAATAGGGCATTCCGTATTGTTTGCAAAGGGAATTACAAATCAAATAAAAATTCTGTTTGTCAAAAATACGCAAACACGTTTTCGCGTATTCAGGAATTACGTGACGAGATTGGCCATGCTCCAAGCACTATAACATCTCAAGAAACAGCTAAGGTGAGCTGTGATTATCGATTCACATCGATAGACCCTTTCCAGTAGTTCAAATCAATTTTACTAAATACTGTTCAATAGCCGAAACTGAATTTAGTCTCAAAATTCTTTCAGTCTAAGCGATAATTTTACTTTCTATAACGGTTAAGCATTGATTTCACGAGTTTACGTTCACAGTAGTAAATGAATAGATTAATTCCGATGAACTTTCACGATAACTGATCGAGATAAATAGAACGACATAAAATGAAAGGTTTGTGTAAGCAAAATAAGTGAGATCTAGAGCAACAGTGCTAGTGGCTAATGTTGCTGATCGATTAACAGTTGTTTCGGGCGTATTTCACGGGCTGGTGACCCATTGATGCATCTCCTTTCATCTGATCTCCTCCAGCTATTGATTACTGTTTTGTCTATCAAATCCATTAAGGAATCTTCCTGAGGTGTTTGATATCTGTGAATTTCATCAATTTTAGCGCATTTTCCCGTCAAAAGCGCTCACTGTAGTTGCTTCTTACGTTTTCTTCTAGAATCACTTCTAGAGAAAGAGCACTGACTCGATCGATCGTCGTGAAGCTTCCAATTGGGCATTCATGTCGATCTGCTTTTTGAATTTCTTATGCTTTTCCTTATTGTGTTTCTCATCGAAGCGTCGTGTTTTATATCGAAATAAAGGAGATATTCTTATGTTTACGTGCTGTCGATATTATTGAGTCCTCACAATTGAGAAAATCAAACTATATCTCATTATTTACAATGCACTTGCTTATTGTTGGTGTGTCATCCCTGTTTCCAATAAGGCTTGATTCAGAAACTTTTTTGGTCCTCTTTCAACTGAATTCCATTCCGAAGGTCTGTTTTCGTGTCGAGTGTGAACTTTTGATCTTTTCAGATGGCGTTATCTGTTCCACCTCCTCCACCACCAATGCCGAACTCGAATCCTGTCTTCAATGGCAATTGGAGGATTAAAAGTGAGTCGCAAAATACGGGTATTGCGCAGAGTTCCATTGAGATACCCGAACGACAAAGCGTTGCGTCGCTACGTGAACAACTCGCGAATAAACTCGAAGTAAAGGCACCGAATGGCACTAAAGCGATTGTGCACAGTGCTCGTGAACGTCAACAACGTTCCTGTGTAACGCCTGTATCATTCGATCGTATTCCAAAATCCCTGGATTTTGGACGACTGAATTCAACCGGCGATACCACAGCACAACTGAACGGCAACTCACCATTACATATGAGTCAGAATGGCCGCATTTCAGTGCAAGGCAGTCGTATACCAGTAGCGGATTCCGCGCCATCATCAGAATACGTTAAGCCAATAGTTCATGAACCAGCCCAACGTCACCTTTCATGCATAACACCATTGCCCTTCTCAAAATCTCTCCTGCACCAGAGTGCCACCTCTCAAGAATTGTCACCGGTTATCTACACACCTGCATCAGAGCAATCATTCACATCCGATTACCATAGCAACTATGAGGGTACTCCATTGCACGAAACCTCGAATAATGGCATATTTCATTTGGGACACACTGAATCTAACTACGCAAAATCATCCCTATCAAATGAACATGAACTGAGCATGAACGAGTCAAATCTAGGAAACAGCAAGGAAGCGCATACAGATTCAGCGATCGACTTAACAATGCCTTCGCCTCTGTCCACTAAACAGGCTTCGTTAAACGGTGATCAACCGGAGAAATTGTCTAACGAATGTGCAAAAGTTGATGACTACTCTGATATAGCCTCACCATCCAGTGTTCTATCAATCGGTTCATCGAGCACTCATCCGCATCCGCAACCAGAAATGCCAGCCTTCTCCACTCCATACTATCGAGAGTCTGAGCGATCCACGAAGCAACAACGCGAAGAGTCCTCATCAAAAGTGACATCAGCAGATGAACGTCAGTCAAAAACTAGTCCCGCCTCTCGTCGCAGCGATCAGCAACTCAACGATGGCCTTTTTAGCAGCAGTGCTAGAGAAGATGTAGCAGTGCCGTCCTTATCCACATCGCAATATGCGCTCGACTCAAAATTGATGCAGTATTCTGATGACAACACTAGCAATCAAAATAAGCAATTCGAAACGTCAACCCTAATGAACCATACCTCACCCCAACGTCAGTACCATCAAAAACAATACCACCAAGTACCGTCTGCAAAAGATGTGAATCAGTTAAGTGAACAACTCAAACAGTCATCATCAGATAATTCTTACTGGTATAAGAAAATGTTCCAGCGAATGCATAAAATTGAAAGTCAACAAGGTTTGTGCGCTTTTCAATATTTTCAATCGCTATCGATTGTTTGATTAATTCTCATCGATTTAGTTCGATCGAATTCGTTTTATTTGTATGTGTTTGTGTCGCTTTGCTATCGTATGAATCATCGAAATCATTCTCGGATTTTAATCATGCTTCCCTAGAAACTCAGTGAAACAAACAACAGTATGCACGAATGTCTGACAGAAACTTCATGATGAAACAAACGAACTTCTAGAACGTCTTATACTTTTCCAGATTTTATTACTGAATTCAATCGCTCCTGGCAATAATCTGCTTGCACTAAGCACTGCTCTTAGTTCTTTTATTCCAACTCGCAAACTGTGACTGTTATCCGCTTGAAATCCGTTACCGTTAGACGTTGAATGCACTTAATAATATTCATCAAATTCTATATTTCCATTCTGTTCTTATCGATTCTGCGTTTTATGACTTTATGCACCGCAGGCAAAATTTCAAATCCTAACAAACGATTTTTGCTCATAACATAAGATCATTCTCATAATTAAGGGCATTACATGCTTGTAATTATTATCTGCAATTACTCAATTTATTCTCCTGTATTTCATTCCATCCATTAGAAATATTGAACTATTTCTCGTCGTCATAATTGATTGATAAAAAGCATGTCATTTGAAACATGGTTGCTTTCATGTGAAGTTAGAAACGAGATGCAAGTATTGGAATGTTTGCACTCGTTCAATATTTGAGTAAGATTCTTCTATTTCACTAATCATCCGAGAAATGTTGAGTGTTTTGTCTTGAACGTCGTCGTAGAGAATGCGAATGTTTATTTCGCGACTGAGATGACTTTCGAGTGACTTATTTTTCTGTCCAAAAATCTGGTCACATCAGCATCCAAAAGATTTGTTTTTTGAGCTTTGAATGCAATAAAATATCGAAGTGGAAATAAAATGTTCACAAAAGAATTAATAAAGGTAAAATGTGTTTTTGTTTGCATTGAGGAGAGTGTTCCAGTGATAGGCTGCTCATTGATTTCGTTATAAAATTGTATCAAATGAGAAATATAATCAGGTGCATGATGATTGCCAACAATGCAAAAACACTAACAGCAACTATGAATGCCATTCAAACATTTCAGACAATTTCGTCGTCATTCTGTTTCACACAAATGAATGAAAAATCTTCATGCTTAAAATTTTTTCGACTTCCTGATTCGCATGGACACATTAATCTATCGATATTTATTAGTTTTGACGAGAAGGTTTAGCTTTTCGAATTGATGCCATATGCCATCATAGTTATCCATATAAATACGTAAGTGGTATGGATTTGAACGTGCATTTCATCCGTTCTGCGCATATTCAGTGACGAAGTTTGACTTTTCCATTCTGTTCGAGTATCGCTTTGGACTAGTGCTGAGTGAGTTAGATTCTTTAGGCGCATTGTGAAAAGTGGGATTAACATCAATGGTAGGAAAGCATTTCCAACTCATTCTTAACTGCTGAATGAATACATTATGCTAATTATTTGTTATTGGTGGATGCTGATTGTAAGGAGTGTATAAATATTCTCGTATCTGGCGTTCTGTGCTTAAAGATTCGAATCAACGATCGTTACTTATGGTTTCTGAGCGATGCGCCGCCAAAGGCTTTACGGGATAATATAAACGAACAAACAACACGTTGTTCTGATCTATTCATCCCGATTGTGTTTGTATTGAGATGTTAGTTGGATCGTTACTTCATCGCAAGTGCGCGCACACCATAACAGATGTAGTAGTTATTTATTTATTCGTTAAGCTTATAGAACTGAGAGTGTATCCCTTCTAATATCGCAATCATTTTATGAGCCGTTAGCCGTGTTCACTTTCTTTTAATCGCTAGTACGGGAGCAAGACTCTTTAAAGCGGCTGTTTTCAATTTACGAACACTGAAACATTCCGACTATTTTGCAAAGATCTATGGCAAGATGTTGCGATCAATTTGTGTGGTGCACTAATGGAATGTGAAAATGCAAACAAATCTTTTTTTGAACGATATCACAACACTGCAATTGGGTTTTTCTGCGAATTCAATGCTTTCGTCATTATTTAATATTGGCGAACTTCTTTCATTGCAAAATAAAATCCATCAAGTTCAAAAATAATATCGGACATATATTATATGAAAATACGTCCTCATATCGCGGCTGTTTCTGCATTCAATATTGCTATTCGTTGTAGCGATAATGATAAGCGTAACATTCAATTCTGGACGCAGTTTCTGCTGTTTAACACGAGTAACAATTCAATCGTTCTCGGAAGTATTTGAGTTTAATTTGATTTGCGTTCAGCAAGCACAACGCAATAATTATCACTTTCTCAATGCTGTTCTAACCATTCACTCAAGTATCTTACTATCATAGGCGTTCCAAAAAAATGAAAGACTTCAAGTACAAATACAATATTTAGTATAAGCCGCTTTTCAAATGTGTGTTCTTCAAGTTTACACTGAAGTCGTTATCGTCTCGAGTCTCTCGAAACAGTTGAATGAAATTGAATAGGACAGCAAAAAAAAATATGTGAAAGCTGAACCATAAACATTCATTTAACCAGTTTACTCTGAATGAGGTTTGCATATCGCACTGCGCTAATTGTAAGTTACCAATACCCTCTTATGACAAGTGCAAAAATTGCATTTAAGCTCTCTCGCACAATCAGTCAGTTAGACGCTTGTAACTGAAAATTTTGATCAACACGAGAACGGGACGATAAATAGGTTTTTGAGTTTTTGTTGAAATTAAATGAAACCTAAAAAAAATTTTTGTTGAAATCATATGAAATATTGGAATCAATTGTGTGGTATCGGATTTTCCATTCACGATGCATTGAAACTGAATTCAGTTCGCCTACAGTTTACTCCTTCCAGTACAAGCTTTTAGATCCGAACTATGAGATCGCTTATTTATGTCTCTTTCGTAATAGCTTTTTAGATAATGAACGGAAATTTCAAGGGCTTCGATTCACTAGCAGTAGTATTATTCATTCAAAGACGGATGTGAGTAGACTTGAGATCTAGTGTCTAATGTACTCATGAGATGCTTGCTTCCGATAGAAATGCTTATGATTGATTGATGTCTTTCAAATTCTTGTGAATTCACTAACAAACGATACTTTTAACGATGACGATGATGATAATGCATGATGATGATCATCGTTCCGTTTGATTTATGAATGCAAACAATGGAAAAAAGAAGGAACTGAACCAGCAGCATTGATTTTGAATAGAACATTTTAGCAAATAACGTTAACAATACATTCATTTGATGAAATAAATGTTCCGTACAGGACGGTGGTTTCGTTGAAGCATAGGAATATAATACGTTTTGTTTGTGCTGAATGTTGGTAGAAGTGATTGCTTTGACGGAGACGATCTGAAACACAAATTCATATGATATTTGTGATTGTTCGTGTCATATTTGTCGAATAAAAGGAAGGGAGGGACACTGCAATACGCTGTTCGATTACAGCGAATGAATTTAGTGCATTTGCGTTTGAACAACGCATAAAATTTGAATGATGACAATCTTTTGAAATAAAGCGAGACCAAGCCAGATTAGCCACGTCTTCTATACGGCAATTCGAGTGCAGTTTACACTTGCTGCAAGTTCACATTTGAAATGACCCGTAGCATGGTTTTGTGTAAATATAGTAAGAGAAATAATCACGATATGGTGGAAGCTTTACTGAATTGTCATATAATAATAAGAATAAAATGGACATTGATAATAACAATATTAAGAAACAACAGCAGTAGCAATCAAATTTCTTGGCCGAAGATGAAACAATTATGGTTTTATAGATTTTTTTTTCAAGCCAATACTCAAGACTTCGGATCTTGATCCATTAAGCTAACAGAAAGCGATTTCGAAATTGTAAACGATCTCAAATTAGTTGTTTCACTTTTGCCATTTTCAAATAGCATAGCGATTTCTTTGGGAGTTTTTTTGATTGACTGGTGTTTAAGTGCATGACTATAGATTTCCGTGGCTGCCTTATTTTTCAAGCAATAGACTAGTTGAATTAGTTTCATTTCTCGGATTTACATACGCATTTCAATGAGTTCATTTTCAGTTATTTATAGCAGTTTTTTCTTGTTTTTTTTTCTTTTCACGACATCCGAATGATCAATTTTAGGCGTTTGACAACAGTAATAGCTGAACAGAGGCAGTCAAGCATTAATCAGAGATACATAATGAAAGGAATTCGAACAATTGATTTTTGGAAAAAAAAGATGAATATCTCGTCGGTAAAATTTTTAGCATGGGATATTATATGAAGAATCAATAAGTGTCTGTAATGTTTCTTCTTCATATGCATCCATCCATATGCATATTTGCTGAATACTGAAGCATCGCATGCATCTATAGCCATATTTATTTGCGTAATGCATGAACGCATAATATCTATTTACAATATATCTCTACACACTTGTCTATCAGTGAGTCCATGTGTAGTGTGTACAGATGTCACCCGTTTCTGAATGAATTGTGATACATATTGCATATCAAACGAATTCAGGATTATTCCTTTTAAGTCAGTCAGTTGGCCATTCATTATCGTTGAAAAGACGAGGACTAGCGGTTTTTGTTCGCATCGCATCGATTGAACGATGCTTTTCGTTGCGCTGTTGAATTTTGAACTTTTTCGGATATTTTTCGATGATAAACATCTTTTCTGAGTGAAATTTGAAGCTTGACCGAAGAACTCATCTCTTTCTGTCAGTTGGTTTATGTTTAAAGGATTTAGAAGCTTATCTTACGATTAGCAGAAGCTCATCTTCCATTATTGTTTATCTTTCATAAATTCATCAATGTTCACAATAGATATTGCGACTTGTGTGTGCACACAACTCACTGTTATATGTAAAGCATCAAACTATTATTCGTTGCGATCACCGACTGAATCACTGTATTTGTGTCCCTGAAAATTCACGTTATCCAACGGGCCCTCACTGAATTGGATGGTTTAGTGATGTTTATCATTTAGCGGTTTATGTTAATGTTTGCTCTGAAGATGTCCTTAATCAGAAATTACACGCTTTTGAAGTATTCATGCGGTAACAAGTAAGCAAACCTTTCGCACGAGAATTCATTGAGCTATCGAAAGAATCGCTTAGCTTTACAGAGAAATTTATGTGAGTTGCAAAAGCGAAGGTCAATCGCACCTTCAGATTCAAATTTTTAATATATCAATTTCAGACCAGTCCATACTGAAGTACCGAACTGCTCGAGATTTAACATCACCAGTTCCATCACATCATACCAGTCGTAGGTTTTTACAAGAATATGTTCATTTTTATCGTCTCATTAACATTTCTACTATCCTAAAGCGGGAACTTTTAAAATGAAGATTTGCATCGAAAAAAAACTTAAATTGAAGCATATATTGCAAGAACGTACGTCGGAAATGAAGTAAGCATAGAAATATGCAATGAAAAAATGCCTTTCACGAATGTAAGGCATATTTCTCATTAATAATCTGTGGTAATCTTGACATGCTTTAAGTAAATAAATCTAAGCAGATATACTGGAAAATAATGAACTTTTTTTTGTGTTCAGGTGCGTGGACACCAACAGCGACCCTGGAATCACGTTTCGATTACGAATGCTTGCCGCCACGACGGTGCAAAAGTGTTGGACGTTATGTGGATTCTGGACACCGTGACAGCCCGTCCGAAGATACCGAAAAGGATATTGTTGAGCGATGGCGACGAGAACGCGCTCAGCTTTCGGCCAGAACAACCCAGGCTGAGTCCACGGCGGCACGAAGTCCGTCACTTCATCTGATCTCGTCTTCTTTAGCCACACAACAACACCAGTCGAACTCTCCTTCTCGTCCTGCCAGTCGAGCCGCAAATGCCTCTTCCCATACGAATGGTGTGTCAAGTTGTGGTGCTTCACCAACTTGCACCACAGCAACTAATCATAATCGTCCTAATGACTCTAACTCTAATCCCACTAATAACAACAATAAGCCTAACCAATTCGCTTTTCAACGTTCTCGTGTAACACACTTCCACTTACCATCGTATCGCTTCCAAAATCAGGATCAGCGTCCAATCCCATCGTTAACATCGAACTGTTGGCGTTGTGGTCGTTTGAAGCGTCAACTGTCGTGGCGTGAAATCGAATTTTTATATGGTTGTTTGGGCAAGAAGGGTATTCATCAGGAGTCGTTCAATGAGAATCTCAATGGACGTATCAAGAACGCACACATCGGTGATCGACTGGAAGACGCTTGCAAACAGTTCGATTACTTATTAGAGTCTTTAGACGTAAGACGACGTCGTTCGTCATATTCCGCTGCTCAGTCGTATGGCCGTAAGCAGTCACTATCGCCACCATGCAAACATCATCAATCACAATCAGATGCTCTTCCACTGACGATCGCACCCAAGCAATTATTTCGAGATTTTTCACTTTCAATTCTAACCGATTGTAAACCTTCAACCAGCAAAGGTTCGCCTATCGTGTGCCTTCAATAACTTGTTTTGTTTAAATCCTGTCACATACTAATTTGTCTCTTCACACCCAAATCAGACTCCATAGTAATGTTTGGGGTTTGATTAATTGCTCGTATGCAGAGCAGAAATGATCTAATAGTAAGATATTCAAAATCGCATTGCCTTCTTCACAGCTCCTCGAGATTTTTTTCAGAATAACTCACACTTCGTTGACTTCTCTCTTGCTGCTTTTTATCTGTACTTGTTCATTTTATGGGAGTGATTAAGAGCGCGACAAATTTTTGTTGTTCATTTTGAGAACACGCACTGAGAACCTTTCAGCACTTCAACTTACAATCGCTAGCTTCTCAATCATTAGCTAGTGGCTTCAGAATCATTCACTTCTAACACATCCCTTTGGCGATCAGACGGTCCATCTCTATTTCAACGTTCTAATGTTCAAAAAAAAAATCCTGTAAACAATCAGCGTCTCCGTATAACTCCCATTAAAACATCTGCTTTATCCAATGCTAATGGTAGTTTTTTTCCTCAATCGTCGTATGTTTATTGGTGGTTGTCACGCTCACTAATCTCTGTTATTCTACTTTAAGCAAATTTTTTGCTTCTCCTCCAATCCACCACTTTGCAATTACAGTTTGATTTTTCACTGAGAACTAACAAAGAAGCAATTTGCACTGAGAGACTATGAGATGGAAACAAAGGGATGCTGAAATTGGGTACAATCAATGAGCAATAAAAGTGGTAATTTGTCCGCTAAAAAACGCACACAAACCACATCCATCCATTTTTATGGACGTCATTAAAGCACATATGTAATGTTTGAATTCAGTAACAGAGCTGTCATCGATTACACGATTCCGTTACGTCCAAAGTCAAATCGTTTTGGTGGCCAAAACGTGAAATAATGTCCATTCGCAGTTCATTTCTCATGCAATTACGGAGATTCATGGATTTTTCATTACAAAAATGGCCAACGTTCTACATTATCAAAATGATTTGAGCATCAAAAAGACTGACACAAATCTATTTTTATTTACTGAGAAAACGTACATCTGCAATAAGGTTTCATATTGCTCTCGCAGTCAGAGATTGGACATTTGAAAAGCATCTGAAAAGTAGCGATTTCCTTTAGGCGATGAATAAAAATGACGATCGTTTTCTGTTTGATAAAGCCTCAAGCGATAACTGCTAATATAATATGTGTGTGTGTGCAAATGTGTGTTGAATTATGCCTGACTTCCTCGTTAACACTGCTTCGAGTGTGAATTCAACATCAGTCCAGTGTGATTTTCCCTGATTTTTCTACGCACTTCAATTATTTCCTCAATTACTACCTTTCCGATTCTCACAGAATATTTTTTTTGTCGTAAATTAATTTATAGATATGATGTGATGATAGCCAATAGTACTAAAAACCAATATGGCGTTGTGATTATTGAGTTGGCGCAGTATTCTTCTGGGTACTTCTTCAGTACGAATTTTTTCGGATTTTCTCCATGCAACAATTGGTTTATAGGGAACGAAAAGCTGAATTAGAAACAAATTCATTTGCAAACGGAGAAATGTTCAATAATTCACATGAGATTTGTGCCATAGTGACGCATCAGGATCGATTCGATTTGTTTTGCAGAAAATGGATCGCTAGGGAGAGATTTATACGAACTAAAGAAATCTGCCAAAGAAGAATTGCTGAATCGACAGCGAGTGGAGAAACTCAGTGAAGAACTGGAAGAACAGCGTAATCGGAGGCATGGCTATGTGTAAGTGATCTACCTTTTGTATTCTCTTCAAATGATGGAGCATTAAACGGATGTTATTGAGATCTCCGTATGTGGATAAGCCAGATTCAATGAGTTCAGTTCTTATGATATAATGAGTTATTAGTTATTTCATTTACAATTTAATTTTGGGTCACGACCAACTGCTGGCCTTCTACCATTTATTGGACTTTACTATTCGATTGTGGTTGTGTTCTCAGCACAGTGCCAACAATCCGTTTTCAGTCCGTCAGCCTCACCAGCCCTACAGAAGAATTTCGATCGCTTCGATGGTCTTCTCAGTGAGTTCGGTCAGAGCGATCATCGACGAGCCACAACACCATCATTTGCTACGACACCTCATCAAGTTATAGCCACTTGTACAGCGCTGTATTCATTCAAAGCGCAGTCTGCGAGGTCAGTGTAAATCACGGTTGACAAAAATATTTGTCGGGATCGTCAACGATTCACACCGTTCTAATGTTCATTTCGTAATTATAAGTAAAATTTTTTCTTCGTAATGCTCAATGAAGAGAGTTGCAATTTGGCAGTAGATCAATGTGGATGAGCACTTAAAACTTTCTCAGTCATTGAAGAAGAAAAAACGCAAGATCTCATCCTTTTGAGTTCCGTGCAGCTCTATAAAGCACATTCAGCAATCTTAAGGAATAAATGTTGTAGAGAATTATCGTTTAATCGTGGTGATGTTATCCGGGTGCATCGCGTTGTGGACGCAAATTGGTTGGAAGGTGAACGAAACGGTCAAGTGGGAATATTGCCATCATCGTATGTGCAGGTAGTTATGAACGACAAGCGTTCTGACCTCGCGATTCTATTTTTTACCATTTGTTGCAAATTTTGCCATCATAAACTGATAATTTGAGTTCGTGACCATCTCGCTAACATCTTCAAGAGATAGTAAATTCAGATGGATGAAGGGGTTGCCACCGAACGCATGAAAATGATCGCTTTATATCCATTCTTCGGCAGGAATCGCAATGAACTATCCTTGAAAAAGGTCAGTGAATATTTGTAGTAGTCTATGCTCTTTAAGATAATCTATAGCAGTGGTTATCATACGGGGCGAAATTACCCATTTTGGGTAATTTGGAGGTGTCAGGGGGTAAGGGAAGGAGTCGGGAAATTAATATTTCGTATAAGTGTTATTTTATAGTAGAACGCCCTTCATTCTTCAATTTTCTGAGTATCATTAGCTCATCCAGGTTTTCATATGTTTTAACAGGGTTTTCATTCTTTTCCTTGCTTTTGCAATCGCTCTCATAACTTTTATCACCAAAACTGTTTTCTTCTGCTATTTTCTCATTCATTTCACTCAGTCAGCAGTTTATGTCGAATTCTCATTCTAATTCTCATTCATTCTTTAATTGATCATTCGACTGTCGACCGTTGTTGAGCAATAACAATTGCTGTATTGTTGACTTCGGCTGTCAACACTCGTCGACGTAATCAGTAAATAGTATATGCTACAGAATAAGAAATTCATTCGAACTGTGAAGTGAAACGAGACGAAGTGAATGAGAAAAACTCATGAAGATAACGATATTCACATGCAATAGCTATAAGAGTGAATACAATACGTCTGAAAAGAATGAGAATCGTGTCATAGACAATAGCCTTTCATGCAGTCGTATTCGATTGCAGTACTGAAGAAGGTAACGGTCTAAGTGAAGGCTAATCTTGAACGTGCTACTAATTGTAAGATTGAACGTAACGGTCATATGAGCATAACATGTGCGATTTCCGTTTTCAATGACTAGATTGGGAGGAGGGGTAACGGCAGCCTGCTAGATCATGAAAAGGGGTAACGGAGCACTTGAACGTGAGAACCACTGATCTATAGCTTTTATTTTCCCATATTCCACATAAAGGTTCAGGACGAAGAAAGACACTCAATTGTTATGAATCATCAGAACGACATTCGAGTGTTTTGGGTGTTTTTCAAGCTCTTTGCACGGGCATGATACTAGAAGGATTGAAATGCGATGAATCCCTCAAAAAAGAAACAAAATTACTCATAGAATTATGAAGTGGTAGCAGAATTGTCGTTTCAGCCCAAAACTGTGGCATGTTTCAGGGTGAAGTTGTGGAGTACAGGCGAACCATTGATGCAAACTGGATGGAAGGAGTGAACTGTCATGGTGAGATTGGAATATTCCCGAAAACGTACGTTCAGGAATTTAGTGAGTCAGATTTGAGGATAGCACCCACCTCAAATGTGGACGAATGTATTCCGGATCGACCGAAAACACCAAAGATTATCACCTCGTCACACAGGTTCTTTCTTTTGTGTTTTTTTTTTCAAGCTTGAGTGAGGCTCTTGAGTCGGAGAGTCGGTTTCCAGTATGTCTAAAAGTGTGGCATGTAGTACCGAAATTTCACTTATATCGATAAATTACAGTTAAACATAATTTTCATCCTCCATTACGCACTGATCTTCGATTAACTGGGAGTGGCATTTTTAAATGCGTGCCACGAAATTGTGTTTGTTTGTGAAGGTGGCAGTGGTGTCCAATTTTTTTCATTACCTCAGTAATTGTTGTTGAGTTCTAAGGCTTGTTATGGGATGAGTGTTGCTGCTGCAGCAGTTGCATGATAAATGAGCTTTGCAAAATAACAAAACAGCTTGCGCAATTAGTTATGCGAGCAATTTGGTGCCTATCCCCAACTCATATTATATGAATCGCTGAATTACGCAGATCTCTATAGGAATTTACCCTCAGAAACGTTCAATGAATAGCGGTTTTCATTCATCCATTCAATTTGCTCGATAATGGTCAAAATTTGCTTTCATAGATGCTCGCTCAAATTGAATTGCTAATGCAAGTTTATGCAAAGCAACATAAACAGTTGATTTGCAGCCAATAGATTCGTGAAGACTCCTTTTCAAGAAGCTATTGAGTAATTCTTCAGTGATGCAGTTCGTATTCATTTCAACACTGAAATTAGTCGTGTTGACGATTGCGATATGAATCATGCATTTTTCACCACACTAAGTCTCTATCAGTGTGGCAAAACTGAATGTTTTGATGAAGTAGAAATATACTGCACTCAAAAGTACAAGAAAAAATTGTGAGAAACAATCAGGAAGTAATTTCTCAAAGTGAAACAAAATGAACGAACTCTTTGTTTTTCGATGGACTTTGAGAAATTCCCAGACTGAAGAGAATTTGTTTCATTTTGTCGAAAAACGCACTGCATAGTGTCAAAACATGCGAAACATGTTTGTGAGAAATTTTGTCGAATTCGTTGCTGTCTAATCGAAATGTTTTGAAGCCTTTTTTTGCACTGTCTAGACAAGTGGCATTGCAGTGAAATATGAATTTTATCGATTTGCTTTGAGGTTTGAGAAATTTCAGATTTGAGATTTGAGAACAGTTTCTGTTGAGATCTTCGAAGGCGAATGCACTATTGAATGTGATTTGCGGGGTCGTTAGAGAGTGAGATAATGGGCGGAAATGAGGAACACAACGGTGTGAATAATATTTGCCGCATTCAATATTTCGAGAATAATTTGATTCGGTCAAACGCATCAAATGATTTGTTGGTTTGGCTTGAGTGAATTCTCGATATTCTTGCCTCATGAATTATTTTTCGGTGTCCAAAGCAGCTCAGCTTCATATTTCGACTATTAAAGACATTTTATGATAGAAGATGTCTTCATTCATTCGTTACTGACATTGGTGGATTGATAGCGAACAGGCAAACACCATTCGGTGGTATATCAATGCCAAATTCATTTTGCAGTTGACGATATTCGAGCAACAAGAAAATAAACGGCTACCAACGAGAAAATTGGGCAGTCTTTCTGCCCTAAAAAGACGAATGATTTCGAATCGAAAGTTTTCCGTCGATTCAACGAGACGAATCCCTCCTGACGGCATGCACATGCCGGCAGCAATAATTTATCGTCGCTAATGGATCTGTTGACGTTAGAAAGAAAGGCATTACTTCGCATCGAATTCGCGTGTGACTGGTGATAAATTCGTGGCCACATATGCCAGCATGTTCGGAAACGTTCCTTTGGGAGATCACTCTTTGAGTGTGCTTCCAACTTTTCATGAACAATGAGTGCTCCGTTCGATAAACGAACGCGAGCATAGCACCGAATTGATTTCTCACGGGGATTCTAGTTTGATCCAAAGCGTACTGAAATTATCAACGATTCAACGATACCAACCTAACCAGAAAATGAGTTATAACGAGGCACTATTGCGCGTTTCCGTGAAGTTCTCATTGAAATTTTAAAAATGCATTCAGTCGTTTTTGCGTATTTCATTCGTCTCGTGCTCAAGACGCCAAGCATATTACACCTTTAGGTAACAATCGTTTTAGATTTGTGACCGCAGTTTTTACGCATTTCGAATTTTTTAGGTAACAATCAAGTGAGAGGGCAAGCAAGGCTATGCTGGTCCGCCCATTGACACCTTTTATCAATAACAACGGCATTTCCCATTATCGATCATAATTCATAAACCCACCAGTCCCGAGCATGTTATGTGGCTCGATCACGCCCATTTGATGGTCTTAGATAATGGCGTTTCGCATTCTTAATCGTTCACTTTGCACCGCTAGATGTTGATTGGATTCTGACTGTCACGCGGTCGATTCAAGATTCTGAACATCCACAGCTGTCGTCGTCCTCCGAATGGGTTTTCCAGCATCGTTTGCAACACGTTGCCACTATCATCCTTTACGAGCGTCGTGGAAAAGTGTTCGTGATGAGATTCGACGTTCACCTGCGATAGCAATATCTATCGATAGGGCAGCATTGTTAAGTGCTGAACTGCAGACGACCCCATCTTGCTCAGAATCACTCTTGAATCGCGCAATGAATGTGGCCCTTCAGAAGTACATTTACGTAATTATTGTACGTTTCATTGACCACACGTTGACAATGCGTTCACCGCCGAATCAATACAAACTGACAATTTTGTATCGCAAATTCGGCAGACAGTTAGCTGCCGCACTGAGGGCGATTCCTTTCGATCAAAATGAATGCTGGAATATTCTCGAGAATCGTCTTCTGTACAATTTGATTGCATCCCGATGTAGCGTTCGTACGCTGCTAGCATGGCATGCGTTCATTGACGAGATCTCGACGGTTGTTCTCCAAGGATTTTGTCAAGCGGTAATAAGTGATTTACCCAATCCGCTACCAACAATTTTCGAGGAGACACCAATGCAATGTTTTCACTTCGAGCCAGCTGCACAACAAGCGAATATTTTCACGAGAATATTCGCAAAACTTGTATGTTTCCCATCTTGTATGATTTTTAGTTCTTTCAAAAGACGCGCACGTTCAGCAGAAATTACGATGTTTTTATTGACGGCAATGGTATCATCAAGAATAAGTTCACTGTTAATTCACTGAATCAGTTGGACGAGTGGTGGGGACGATGTGAGAGAATCAAACGAGTTGATCACAGAACTTGTCAAATTGATTTAAAACAAAATAGTTAACAACATCCGCAAGCATTACATTTTTTCACGATTGTTTTTTTGAATGTGCTTCTCAGCCTTTAATTGCATTTCATTGTTTGATTCTGGCAAAGGAAATAGCAATAGCCTGAGTGGAACTCAACTGTTGTTATTCAATTGTGTAAAATGTAAAGTACTTGGCATTTGTATTTCCTCAACATTATATTCGCTTCATTATGTTTATTTATTTAATGCGACTTTATGCCTCTCTTTTACCACAAATATCATATTCCTTCTTCCTCAATATCCTTCACACCGCTCAGCTAACGATAATAGCGTTGGGAATCATCTATTTTCGTGAAATCTAACTTCAATTGTTGATTTGACTAGCACAGAGGGGCGAGACTACTCCCTCATACAGCTCAATGACTTGTAAGGAGTGGGACTCAAAATGGACACGAAAATACAATTCGCTGGATCGATTGGGTATCCGTCAATCGATCACTCAGAATGATTTTCTTTTGCCTGACATTACAATACTGATACTTATTATGAAATTACGAGTGTATATGAGTATGTACACTTGTAAGTTCCCTCTTGAATCCTTTTGTTAAACTTTATAATCGCTAATCCCAACTGAGTTGTTTAATTAAAGCTCACATAATGCGGAATTTATTATTGCTGTAAGTTAAAGCAAATACAACAAGCTGGAATGAGGTAATCAACTTCGTCTGTCCAGTTTATAGAACGGGTAGAGGTTATTTCGAGATAGTTCGTGAACCTTACATAGTCGAGTGCTATCAACTCATTGAGATTCATGGAATTCCATTCCTTGTTAAAAAGTATAATTCAGGAACTTTTTTGTGCATGCCAGTTATCATGTGCAGTAGTTAGCGCTGTTTGTAATCAAGATAATTTATTTCTTTGTGGTGTACTGAATATTGTTGTCATAGAAATGAAGCCTTGAAGAAGCATTCATCATGGTTCGCTGAAGTAGTTTTTCGTTGATTACGTACTGATCGCAATCTGAGGGTTTCCATTAATTAAGTATGAATTGAATCGAAATTATTTATTACTGAACAGTTCCTCATTTCAAAGGCAACACGTTCCTTCTCGAGAAATATTGTTAGATTCGTTTTTTGCTGATTGAATCTCATGATGAAGAACAAAAAAAATTTCGCCAGTATAAACGATTATTACATTTAGATGATTTATAATACTTGGAGCGCAAACATCGAACAGATAACTTGAAAGAGTGTGACGTTATCAATTGTAAAGTGGTTTTTGAACTAAAGTGAAATGATCATATTCTCCTTCTATTAACATATGACTGAGCATTGTTTGTTTAGAATTCCCGAAACTATGCACCATATCTGCACGCAAAAGCATTTGTCATTCACTATTCCCTTCAACATCACGATTATCTGCCTACGCGTTCGCAAAGCATGAATATAGCGTTTGGGTGTTTGAAAATAATGACACTTCCGTCAGTTAACACTAAAGAAAGACTCTGCAGATTCTTTCGAATGCATTAGCATATAATCTCTCTCACAAACACATCTTTCATGAATTGAGCAAACGCGAATCGGTCGATTAGATGGAGTGGAATGTGATGGAAAACGCATTCTGACCATGTATAATTGCAAAAACTGTCACTGAACGCATGACATTCAAAGGAACACATTTTTTGGTGAATAGAATTGAATTATAACCTCTAGGTTGCAGATCATTTTTCATCATAAAGAATTTATGCTTACGTATAGACAGTATTTTCACGGAATACGGCGATAAATATCAGAAATGTTTTAGTTTTTCATTGGTTTACCTATCATTCGTTTGGCTGATAGCAATCGCTCTAGCCGTTCAGCGAATAGTTTTTTGCTTTTGATAGAATGCTTTCATGTTGTCCTTGCTGTATGCATGTCACAACTGAAATACCATATGACGGACAAGCACACTGAGAAATAATGCTTTCCAAAACATCTGCATAAATGAACTCTTCATTCGCATTCTTTTTTGATCTCAAAAGCTGTTGACAAATGTGTCACACATGCAATGAATGAGTGCTAAAAAACGTGTATTGTCTGAGGAGAATCAAGATATATGGCTTTCAGAATAATCAATCGCTCGAATATAATTTCTTCCCCAAAAAAAAGTGTACTGATTGAGAATAAGCAATAAACAATAGGAACTCTTAGACTTGTGTGCATGCTTGAGTGCATTTGCTGATGATATGTGCTGTTCAAGGGACGAAAGTCAATTGCCAACGAGAAAGATGAATCACGGCAACGAAGTACAAGCGTGGCAGCAAAAACACACAAAAGAAGGCCTCTCGGGAGCTGCGCATATCGTGCCGAGAAATGCAGAGACGTACGTTCCTTTTGTCTTGTTTTGCATCTTCCAAACCATCGTGACAACTTGCAAAAGTTTGTGTCTGACCATGAGATTGATTGGAAAATCTTAGCAGATGTTATCAAGTGGAGCTTCTAAGAGAAATTCAACGATGTGAAGTAAACATTTTGATATTCCAATAAAAAAAGAACTGAAAATACTTTCTGAATCGAGTTAGTTAAGTTGATTTGGCACTGAAAGTTAGTGGAGTTGTTCCGTTCCGATTTGTAGGCGACTTCTCTGTGAAAAAAAAATTAGGAATATGTACCGTACTTTATTCAGTTTGGATACAGTAAAAATTGCGAAACGTTTAAGTAAACGATAAGTGTTTAGGGCATCAGTTGCGATGTTTATGTCACACGAATTCATCATCCTCAGTCGTTTATTCATACTTGAAATTGTGAATATTTCTTGAAATTTCTCCTCATATAGGCACATGATCAAGCTCACAGTTTCAACAAAATGTGATCCTCTGGCAACTGTTATTTTTAAAGTGTTGGAGTGTGTTTTCATTAAGATTCTTCAACTCAAAAAAATTGCTTATCAAACATAAAACAGAGATTCGACCATAGTTAAATGAAGTTTTGGTGAAAATGCTGAAAAAATGCATCTTTCTATGTCAATTGACAAAAATTCTTAGTTAATTTCTATCAGAATGATAAAGTGATCGTTAGAGTTTGCAGATATCGAGCCTTATATGCATACAAACCACGGAATGTTGACGAACTTGAGTTGTGTGAAAACGATATTGTTTTCGTTGTTGAGAAATGTGATGATGGTTGGTATATTGGTGAGCATTGCAAATATTTCTTATGTATTGATCACAAGACCAATTTCAAAAATTACATTATTAGTGTTCCGTCGTCTAAATCTTCAACCATGGCAATATATCACTGTTGGCTGCCTCAAAGTGTGGATGTGGGGGATGGTGCATTAGATGCAAAGGTTCTCGTGATAACACACAATTGCGAAACTTGAAATTTATTCGAGTGAATGAATTTCTGAATAGAGTTTCTGAAAGTAAGATATTACACTAGAATGCAGTCGATACTGTAATTGATGTGGCCAACTGCGCTAGCATATTTCGTCGCGCATTAATCATTTATTTACTTTTGGATATTTCGAACGATTAATTGGAATAGGGCGAAATTCAGAAATGATTAAATTGCATTGCAGGCACATTGTTACGAACCGGTCAATTCGGAACGTTCCCGGGAAATTATGTAGAAAAGCATTGAAGAGGTGTTACGTGTTTACATTGTGTTGATTATATACATATTCATCGATGTTTTTCATTGTTTATGCTTCAACAAATTTTTTGAAAGCATTTTTTCAGTAACTTAAGTTTTTGTTGTGTTTGGTTTTGCAATAATTTCAAACGCGACACAACGGTGCAACATTTTGCCATATCTGATCATCAACACAAAACAATTTTATACTTATCATTCAAATGTCATAATGCAATAGAAACGTTGTTGTTACATTGATATCGTATCCACAAAAAAGTTTATATTTGATGATTAGGAATACTCGATTTTGTTCACTGAAGCGAATGTAAATACAGTATTATTGAATGAGTGCAGTCTTTGTTTCAATTAAGTAATAATCTATGCAAACTGCTAACTGCTGTCTCAGTTACAATTTGTATCCGACATTTATCATCACTGTGTTCCGTAAACTGAATGAATCGTAATGTCGAACCATGGAATAAAAGTTTTATAAAAGGAATTCACCAGTCAGGCAGGAAGTTTGTCCAGTCATATCACCAACGAATCAGTCTTGTTCCAGTTCTTTGCTTCTCATATTCGTTCCTTCAAAACCATTTTCGATATCAACAGCTGCCATCTTTCAATCTACATCGTTTGAATATCATCTTGGATGAATTCATAGTAAAAATCGTTTCCGATCAGACGATGAATTCTAGGCGAAACAGATTCTGAAGTGAACGATAAAGCAGCAGAGTAGTGTATTCAAAAAACAAGGTTTTCCAGCATGATATATTTCTCAGGTATGATGAGGTCATATTGTGTTTGGTTTTGCAGCTTGTAGGGATGCGAAAATGGTAGAATTGCTTGTTTGTGACAAGTAGGGAGACGAAAGATGCATTGGAGTTTGGGATGAAATTGTCTGTATGAAAAGTGAGCATAAGCGATGTTCATCACCAATTGCAAATGTAAACAGATCTATGAACGCATATAATGATCGCTTATAAGTTATGTACGCATATACGCAGATTTGTTACCATGCCAATATAATTATGTCATGCAAGTGTATCTCAAGTGTGACTTGGATGCGATGGTTTATGGAGATCCGTGGTACGCACTCATCAAAGACATTTATGATATTTTACATTACATGATTTTATAAGGATATGATTGAGATTCATAATCTGAGGATTGCTATTCTACGACCTATCTTTCTGTAGATTTATTTCGCCTGCATTATTCAACTGGTAAAAATCATTAAGCTGATGAAGAAGTTGAAGTAATACGAAATTATGGGGAGCATAATATCATCTGATTATTTACATGATGCTTTCAAGAACCTGACTCAAGCGCATTGCAATTATAGGCCTAATGCCACTTCACCAACATAATTATACGTGATACTTTGGAACGTATTCCACTGAAATTGAGAGCTTTGCGAATCTTGAGCCAACAGGAACTCTACCCAGAATAATCGAAGTGAACGTTACTCACAAAATATTGGGCAAACGTTCCTGCTCAAGTTTTCATCGCGAAAAGTATTTCAGAACTTTGCTTATTCGAAAGCGAGAAGGCTCGTTTCCGTGTGTCTCTTTCTAATGTTCTCATGCTAAATTAGCATTACTTCATGAACCGTAACGATATTACTTGTGTGCAAATCTAGTTGTCATGCCAATATTATTTCCTGAGAAGTTTGTGCAAATCTAGTCTGGCATTGTGGCATAAGTGATATTCGACTTGGTGATGAGGATTTTTGGATTTGCGGAACCTCGACCATTTGATAAAAACGAGATTCACCTGTTAAAAAAGCAATTTGTTTTTCGTGCACTTCACCAGCGTTTTTCAAGCAACGTACTCGAGTACTTCAAATAGAACTGATCTGAATATATCACTGAAGTCAACTGAAGTTGAATGATTTCATCCGAAGAGAAAGTGCAATTCAGATGTAATATCGGTGCAAGGTTTCGTAAAATAAAAATGGGATATGTTGCGCGATTCGAAAAGACATGTGGCATTTGAATAGATATCACGCGATTATGTTTTATTTAAAAAAATGTTTCAGTACATTCACCGATTGTTATTATCTTTTACAAGCTGCTTTTTCAGCAGATGTTTATTTGATACTCCTAGCGAAAACAGTTATATCTCTTAAATTTGGATAAATTGGAATATTGCAAAGAAACACTGACTGATGTTGACATTTCATAGAAGTTCCGTGCTGCAAAGTTTATCACGAAATGATCAAAATGACGACGTTTTATCGCCTTATCAATATTATTGTTATAAATGTCAGCACTATAATTATACCAAACAAAATGTGCCATGTTTGCTTAAAACTTATGATTATTGCCATTGTGAAATCACAATGCGCTAGAGATGTTGTTTTAATAAATTATTCTCATCTGAACGAATATGCACTAGTAAATGATAAAGAAATGGTTGAGTCAGAGTTACCTAGATTACGTGTATTTGTTTTGAGACATCACGCATAACTCTTCATTTAAGCCTTGAGATAGTAAAAAGTTGAATCACCATCTAGGGGAAGGTCAGATTTTGTTGGTAGCTTCAAAAACTCAAAAGATCATCTTGCTGAGCTCGATTTCATTTCAATACAATACTTCTAATGATCGATTTCGGTACTTCTCTTGTAACTCAGGATCCTCTCGAGCTGAACAACACAAAAATTTTATGGAGCAATTGATTGCATGAAAGCTATTGTCTCTGACACGCTCACTTCAAACTGATTCAGATGGATTCTCATTCTTTTCAGACGTGTTCTATTCACTCTCATAGCTATTGCATGCGAATACAGTTCTCTTCATGAGTTTTTCTCATTCATTTCGTCTCATTTCACTTCACAGTTCGAATCAATTTCTCATTCAGCAGCATATACTATTTACTGAATACGTTGACGAGTGTTGACAGCCGAAATCAGCAATACAACAATCGAATACTATTGCTCAGCAACATTCAACAGTCAAACGATCAATTATAGAGTGTATTTAATAGAATGAGAATTTGAATTAAACTGTTGAGTGAAATGAATGAGAAATTAGCAGAAGAGAACAGTTTTTGTAATAAAAGTTATGAGAGCGATTGCAACAGCAAGGAAAAGAATGAAAACCCTATCAAAACAAATGAAAACTCTGTTAAGCCAGGACGAGCTAATGATACTCAGAAAAATGGGGCATACCCAAGTTAAAAAACACCACCACTATGGCGTTCAATCAAAACATAACAACTGCACAAAATGCTAATTTTCCGACCCCCTCCATAACCCTTGAAACCACCAAATTACCCAAAATGGGTAATTTCACTCCCTGTGAGAACCACTGCTATAGTCTTGGCAGCGATGATCGACAAAGTGATCAGGTTTGTGATGACAGGCAGGCGGCATTAACCGCTCAGTTTTATGCTGAATTGTAAACTCAGAAATCAATAAACGAAAAACGCGGCTGCATCTAAGCCTTTTTCATCCTGAGCATAGGCTCAAGACCGAACGTGATCATAGACTCAAGAAAGAGGTTGAATCTGAGTGCGAGACTAATTCTTGAGAGTTGGACTGAAAATCATACCAGTATATTTATGACCTGCATGACCTTTATAGGTTGTCGTCAACACGCACATTTCATTGTGGTGCGTCCTAATCTTTCAGTTCTTCATTACAAAGAAACTGATTTTTTAAACAGTGTTTCATTAGACCGTTAAGAAATTTGGCCATTTTTGCAATATTCCTCAATTTTTCAAGGAATCTGGTGAAAAAGGCTGGTTTATGCTCATGATCGAGTGTAATGAGGAGGTAGGAGGCAAAACGATTTCTTCCATCTGTATGTTGGAGCTTGAGGAAGAATAGCTTGAGAATAGACGACCCATCTATTCTCAAGCCTAATGATAGACGATGCCGCATCAAACTGTACCATTGCAGCTGAATGGAACCAGTTTACCTTGCTGATCAAGTGATTTTCCTAAAGAAATTGCGTTCTGTCATAAATGCCTGCGCTATACTGCTACACTGCTAACATATAAAATATGGTTGGTCCGAAGATTCAAAATCTGCGAAAATTGTCTTGTTAAGTTCTATTCACTTCTCTGTCATTGTTTTAATTACCAAAAGCTGTTCAAATGCTTATTAATATAGCCACTGCAACAAGGACTCACGGCTACAAGATTGTGTGTTTTGATTATTCTGTTCAACCGCATAAACTTTTTCGATGCCATCTTATTTCAGTTGTCACTGAAAATGATTCTATGCTTAAGTTCGGCCAGTGCTAATTGTTCAGTGGATCGTAGCTATGAAATATAGCGATAAGCGGTTAATCGCGTGTTCGATTCACATTCTAACCAAAAACGAAAGAATTCTCAACAAACGATGACAGACGTAAACATTAGCTAATTAACAAAATGAAGGTAATTTGATAAGTAGAAAATGAACGTAGGAATACTTCATTAACGAGATAATATGTGAGATTTTTCTATTTATATTCGATCTGATAATCTCTTGGCAGTGCATATTCGAGGGAATAAATAGATGGTGCGTGTGATCCGTACAGCTTCACGAGAATGAAACTCATTACTCGTAGAGTTCCTTTTTATACCTATTCTTCAGCTGCCTAGTGATTATTGCTCTCTCGTTTGGGTATCGTCTTTGTCATTCACCTCAACCGTACGAAAACTAATTAATCCACTTACTCACAAATTAATACAAAATGAACGAGGAAGATTACTCTCAATACGTCATGCGATTGCAAGATCTCGTTCATTTTCTAGGAAATAAAAGCTCAGCAATCACACGATATCCTTTTATAGTAATTTATTCCTTATCGTCATCTGCACCTCCCTACAATTCCAAGTCTTTTAAGTTATATGTGATGAAATCGTCTTGACCATTTTTATCATATTAATTTATCTCTCTAAAGATTTTTTCGACGATCTTCTGCAAAACCAATCGCCATTTTAAATCTACTGGCCCATTGCGTAAATAATCATTCAAATTCTTCAATCTTGTTATTTTTCAAGCTTCAATTGTCATCCAA